GGCTCGCGTGCGCTGCTGCCTGCGCCGGGGGCTCCCCCGCACCCCCTGCATGGTGCCCACCCTCGGGCAGCGCCTGTGGGTCGGGGAGCGAGGGGGACGCTGGCCCGGGGGCTGCAAGTCACTCACATGTGCAAAGGGGCCCCTCCAGCCCGTGCACCGAAAGCGATGGAGCCACTTAGTGCGTGAGCCCTGGGCCAGGCATCTGATCCCTCTGGATTTCAGCTGAAGCTCCAGTTAATCTGGTAAGAAACAGGGCCCCTGTGGAAACCGGGAAGCACAGCAGAGCAGCGCTTGCATAGGCAAATACATTAACCCTCCACTCCTCCTCTTGCTTCAAGTAAGAAGTCAAAACTCCACCGAGAGTTCACCTAAGCACAAAATTAATCATGATCATCACTAAGGAAAAGCCAAGCTAGCACAAGCAGAGAACTGAGCTTGGCTTTGTATCAGAAAAATCAACTCTGCAATCCACTCTCAGCCCAGAGGTACAGGAACCTTGCAACCACAGGCTAAGGAGCACAAATTACTAATCTGGCGCCGATTTCCCCCGTCAACTCGAGCGATTTGCTTTTCTGCCTCATCCTTCCTATCTGTAGCGAGGCAACAAAACGTGTTCCTCTTCCTCATGGATGAGGTACAGGTTAACACAGCACTTTTGGCAGCGTGCCCTGAGCACCAACACGGGCCCTGCCCCAGCCGCCCGCTCCTCCACGGGATGCCCAGACCCTCCCTGGTCCCGGGGCTGGGAGCAGTGGGGGCTCTGCCGGGACTGGGGGCTCAGCACACAGGCAGCGCCGCCCAGTCCCAACAGCAGAGCAGAGCGGGTCTGAGAACCAAAGCACAGGTCTGGGCAGGGGCTTGGGGGAGCTATTTTTGCCTCCCGGCTGAAGGCTTTTGTGTGGCTTTGCTCCTGCTGCAGAAGCAGATCTGGGCTGCTGAGCTCATGGAAAGGATTTGTGAGCACTAATTCTCTGTTACACAACAAACCTATTTTCCTCCGACACCGAGCAGGAGCCGCCCTCCCCGTGCCGGCTCCCTCTGCCAGCCCTCCTTCCCCATCAGCACCCTCTCCGTGGGGACACAGGCCAAACGAGCCCCCGAGATGGCCAAGAGGGGCTGCACAGCCCACGGGTGATCCTGCCCCCCGGGGAGACCACGAGCTTGGAAAGCAGCAGCAATGCGGAGTCTGGCCGGGTCTTCCCGGGGGCTTCCCCAGAAGGCAGCAGCGCCTGCCCAAGTACAAGGGCGGGGGCTTGTTTAAGAACTACATCTGCAATATCAGAGGCTAAAATCTGAAAGCTGCCAGTTACCTTATCAAAGCAGCTTCGTGCGCTGCTTGTTTCTAACCAAAGCTGAAAGTGTTTTCAGCAAAGAACGACTGTTTGGTAGTGCTGCAGTTGGCAGTGAAAAGACAAGGCGGCAAAGGTCTCCCTTTGGGACACGGGCTGCACTTTGAGCCTTCTCTTTCAGGAGTTTGGTAGGTGCAAACACAAGCGGCTTCTTAAAAAAACAAGTGGAAAGCCTGATGCCTTTTGCTATGGGGAAATAACTGTAGTGACCCCCAACAGGGCTTTTCCTCTCTTTCCCATATGCTTTTCAAAGAGGACTACTTTTGCCGGCGTTACCAACTGTTCCATGAATCCCCGTCTCCCCTTTGGCTTCTTGCGATGCTTTGGACAAAAAGTTGTCCGTGACTTCTTTGTGCGTGGCGTGCCCGGGTAGGGATCCCCTCGCAGGACCACCACCTCTCCCTTGATCACACTTTGAATACCGTGCTGTAGCACGTGGCTCTCCGCATCCCGGCGGAGCGGGCATTGCTGTATGGAAGCTGCCGCTCTCTCTGAGGCCAGCTACGGGGCTGGAGGTAACACACACGAGCTCACAGATGGCAGGAGCCTCAAATAAAACAGGCAAACAAAATTTAATAAGAGAAGCACAGAATTAAAAGCTGCCCGCAAGCAGCAAACTGCGTCTATCTAAATAAACATGCCTGGGATGTGCAGTGCTATCTTCTGCATTTTTATTAAATATTGACAGTTATTAAATGTGTCCGTTGGAGGATTTGCCTCCAAAAGCCAATGTTGCTTTTCATTTTGAACTTTGATGAACTGTCTCAATTTCGACTCGCACATCTGCTGAACTGCAATTGACTGTGGCTGATGCTTCTGAGGGATGGAGGGAAAATCAATAAGGAAATGTCACGGGAGAGGTCAAGCCGAGCCGGGATTCACCGCCGGCCACCGTGCTCGCCGCAGGCTGGAGGGACGCAGCGGTACCCAAACAAAGGGGAATGCCGGGGCGGGCTTCTGCCGCTGAAGTGTCAGGAAAATGAATTTTGTTTGCTTTGTAATTGTATTCTGATTCTCAGCTGGGAGCCATCACTGTACGACTGCGAGACAAGGTCGGGAAATGCAAGAATAGAAAGGTGTGTTTTGCTCAGGATTTGGGAAAATTGCCATTCAATAATTCCAAATCTCCAGCCGGCGATGTAAGCTTTCCTCTCCACCCACATTACTCCACTTTAAAAACAGGTATCAAACTGCGACCGCAGCTCAAAAGCCCAGAAGCGATAGCTGGTGCGTGATTCCCCATCGTCTCTAGGAAACCTCAACCTGAACACACCCAGGTGCTCTCTGGATGTAGATTATTAGCATGGGGCTCCAGGACATCGCACCCGGGTTGTGCATCTTCTTCTCTTAATGTGATCACACTTTGAACACTGAAAATCTCCTTGATTTCCCACAAGATATTGGCCATTTTCTGAAGAAAACTCAAACACAAACAGGAGACTTCTGCCATATTTCACTATCTTTGAGGCAGACACCAAACTCCTTTAGGTCTGTCCCATCTTTGTGTCTCATTTACAACACCGAGCTCAGCAGGGAGCTGCTGGGAACTGCTAGGGCACAAAGAACAGCAACAGGTATTTACCAGACCACCCATAACTGCTGTAGGTGTTCGTGCTGGTATTTACTGAGCGGTTGCTGACAAGGAGAGTATTTCCAGTGACAGCCCCCAGAGGCATCCAGGCTGAGGAGGAACCAAGCGTAGCTGGCTGTTCCAGCAGCAGCCTGCTCATCGCATTAGCCCGGGGAAGACTAAGGACAAGCTCCCTAGCTGCCCAGCTTACTCCAAATTTTGCGGGAGCTTTTCTGCACATCCTGACCTCTGCAGCATCACCCACAGTTGAGAACAGGACATGGGCCTACATGCACCAACAGCCTGAAGAAACGCAGCACTCCCTGCCTGCTGGCATGGACAGATCCACAGTCACTGTGCACCGGCATCCCCGTGACCCCTCAGACCCGCTGCTGCCAGAACGTCACCATGGGATCTTTAATGCGCTCCCCCAAAGGGTGCGGGGCCAGGACCCGGGGGAAGCTGCTCCTTTCGGGGACGGGCAGGACTGAGGGCAGGTGGCCATGGGAATGCCCAGGGACAGGCAGGACCACAGCCCGGCACACCCAGAGGGAGGATGGGGCAAGGTGGCAGGGCAGACCTGAGCCCAGGTCGGTCCCTGCACTCCCTTTTTTGGGCTCTTTTAACCCAAAGGGGCCCCTGTCCCGGCCGTCCTGCTGGCAGGGGCTGTACTCACACTTGGCGTGGCGGTCGCAGAGGGCGGAGGTGCGCATGTCGTTGATGTCCACGATGTCTGGCAGGGCGAGTCAAGGAGCCCCGTGTAGCCCGGCCCAAACCCCGCTCCTCCCGCAGGGTCTCCTCCCGCTGCCCCTCCTGCTGGTGTCTCTGGGTGCCTGGGCTTCCCCCCGCCCCATGCAAACCAGATGTTCCTGGCAGGGCAGCACCCTCCTGGGGCAGAACCACAGCCAGTGCCGAGCTGGGACCAGCCAGAGCCAGCACAGGGGAAAGCCAACATCCACCTCATTTTCTGTTCAGCCGGGGACTGCAGCTCTGGTGCTGTGGCCTGGAGCCCCTCTGCGCAGCATGAGACCTGACTCTGCCCATTCGCTCCAGGCCAGAGCAAACATCTTTTACTGCAGCACTGGGGCACGGTGAGTAACTGCACCAGAAACAACGGGGAGGAAACAAAGCCCAGAGCACAATGACCAACAAAAAACCACCACAGCCCAGGGGTGGCTGCTCAGGGATGTGTAATTTCCAAAACATTTCACATGCTTGGACTCACTGAAATGCTGTGTTGAAAAGCAACCCTATCCCCAGGCCCCATGGATGGTACCAGCAAGGACCAGCACAGCCCCACAGAGCATCCCGGTGCCACAGGGGACGGCTGATGAGCATCCAGCCCAGCCTGACACCAAGCCAGCAGTGACCGGTGGAAGTGGCTTCAGGTCTTACAGTGCAATCCAGACACCCAGCACGGGATGATTTTGATTTACCCACTGTTCAGAGGAGGGAAAAAGAAACAGCATCTTTCCTCACCCCCGGGAAGTAAATTAAGATCCTGTTGTTCCTGGCAAGACAGGAGTTAAAAAAAACAAAGAAAGAAAGAAGATAGGAATTTCTCATCCATGTGGGGTGTTTTACAACAGCAAGCATTCCCACGGAAGAAGCTGTTGCAGTTCACAGCCACTGAGTGGTTTCACAGCCCGGCCGAGCTGTGGATCCACAGCAGAACCTGGATCCCAGTTCAAGCCAGACCCAAACCCAGCACACGGGCCTGTGGGACAGCGATTGCTCGCTCCCAAACTGCCACAAGTGTGGATGTACTGGTGTTTGTACGGTGTGCAGACAGTCTGCAATGAGAAGCAGTACAGGACCACACCATGTCACGGTGCCGCTGCACTCCCCATGGTTCCGTAGCAATCCTGTGCTTCTGACCCGCAAGAACCTCTCACGACAGCCCCGCTGCTCAGCAGAGGTTTCACATCCCATCAAACTGCAGCACCTGGGTGACATGCATAAAACTAAGAAACATCAATCCATAGCACTGCCTCTTCCCAGCAAGGACCAGATCTGGTTTTTATCGACAAATGTGAGAACGGGCGACGTGCTCCTCACCTCCCCAGGCAGGCAAGCGGTGCTGCTGCTGGTCCTCCCCACCACACCAGTGTCACCCAGTGCCTCATCCAGAATGCTGCAGGGAGCCTGGTGGGACTCATCCTGCAGGTCGGCCAAATGGAGCCAAAACAGTGACGCCCTGGGAAGGGGCTCCAAGGCACCGGGCAGAGAGGTGACACCCATGCACATGGGATGGGACACCTGAGTGGACATCTCTCTGGTGGTGACATTTCTCCATCAATTCCTAGCAAGCGTTTTGGGTGCTGTGCTTGCACCTTGGCCAAACTCCCTCGGGCCATCTAAACTCCATGACATTTTTCCCCAAATTTAGTACTCCTCACCTTCTTCTCCAAAACACAACACACATTGCAGCCCTGCTCAACCATACCCTCTTCAAGCTCCCACCAGCCTGTGACTGCTGAAATCCTCTCCAGCTGCCTAAACTTGCCATGTGCCCTAGGGATTTCTCAGTAGGAAACAGTATATAAATATCACCGATGATTAGTGCCCCGTTGTTATTATTTCTGATGCGGCTGTTACAAGGGTGACTGGCACGACCTCATTTGTACGACTGTGACTGGCAGCCTGTCACCCTGCTGCAGGGTATAATGCACGATTAATATTTCCTCTCTCCATCTTCCCCAAGGCATCTGTCTTCTCCATCACCCACGGACCCCCCTCCCTCCCGGCACGGCTCAGGCCGGCAGCATGGGCAGGGACGAGAGGGAAGTGCCTTGGTAACGACACCTGGGAACAGGATTTCAGGTGTTCTGCAGTCGGATGCATGGCAGACAGCACTGTTTTGTACCCCTGAGCCCCCGCGAGCCCTTGCCAGAGGGTGAAGCTCCTGCACCGAGGAACCGTGACCGGGGTGCGGGGCCATGCGAGACGCTGCGCTAACTGCTCGGTCCCCGTCATGGCAGAGACGGGCACGGCTCTGCTGCCTCCCACGGGGCCGGACCTCGCAGGTCCCCCCTCCGCCGCTCACCTTCACCGGGGACCTGTCTCCCCATCCGGCTTTCTCATCCTCCCGCTGACATTTGCCCGTGCCTGGGCTCCCAGGGATTTACACCCCACTTGCCACCTCCCTTATTCCTGCTCTTGGCCGGGCTGGGACCATCGCAGGGGCTGCAGGGCGGCACGCACCAAAGGATACTAAAACTTTGATTTGTGATTTCAAAGTTCCACAGGTTTATCCTCAGGTCGTCCGCCGACATGTAGGTCTCGTAGTCGCTGTTGACGGAGATGGAGTTGATGTGGTAGGTATGCGCGTTGGCAAACACCCTCCGGGGGGTGGCCTCCACCATCAGGTCCATGGGCCGGAGCACGGGTACCTGCGGGACAGGGAGCAGAGCGTCAGCACCCAGGGACAGGGTCCAGCTGTCCCACCCGACCCGCGCCAGCACCCGGCACGGGGGGGATGCCCCCACGGCCACGGCGGGTGCCCGTGCAGCTCCAGCTGGCAGCGCTCCATCCCACACTCTCACCAAGGAAACCTAACGCCTTTCTAAGCGTGTGAACAGAAGGACAGGCAGACACGAAAGGCTCTTCCTTTTGAAAGAGGCACCAGCATGGTTAGATTGCAGCAGGGGCCCAGTAAACCAGGCTCAGATCGCTGCTGCAGCAACTGCTCCTTCTTTGAAAAAAAAAACCAAAACAACCCACTTCTGCCTTGTTTTGTCACTGTTAACCAGAATCTGAAATTCCCGGGGCATTTCTAACAGAAAACAGAAATTTCTTGAGAGCGCCAGGTCAGCACAGATTTTTCTTGTAACTTTTTTGCATTTGCTTCACAGCGAAGTGACAGAGGGAAGAGATGAGAAGAGACAGGGAAAGGGAATGCACAGGGCAGGGACAGATGGAAGGACTAGACACAGAGCTACACACGTTTGCCTTTAGATTAAGAAGCATAACTCACGTAAACATGGGGGGATGGAGAGATGCAGTAAGAACAGTGTATGCATGGAGCGGTGTAAGTAATAACTTCAGACACAACGCTCTTAAGGCAACTTAATACCCTAGAAAGGTGTCAGTCTGTGCTCCCGTTTGCCAGTAAGCTGTTCCCTCAAGCTACTTCATTACTGTCTATATTATCTGTGCGCTGCCCGAAGAGATTTCCCATGGCTGCAGAGGTGGGGATGGGAGTGTGACAGCCAGCTCAAGTGACACCGGAGCAGAGGGACTGCCAGCTCAGAGCCTGAGCTTAATGTGACGAGCCTGCCCGCTAATTCAGCCTGACACAGTCAATGATGCATCGTTTGCCGCTGAAGGACTCTGCTCAGCCATCTGGGGACGGCGGCTCATGCTTTGCTCAGGGATTACAGGAGCCGCCTGTCATTCCGACCGTCGGAAACATGACAGTTGTGCAAAGGGACAGGATTCAGCAGTTACACCAGGCCTTGCCAGGCACAAAAATAAGTCCAGCAAAGGCTTTGGCAGGGGATTTCACTCAGCGAGCTGATGCTGGGCAGCCCAAGCCCACCTCACGGTCAAACCCCGGGCCAGTCCCCAGCCCCGGCAGGAGCCCAGCAGCGCACAGTGCAGCACAACGAGGGCAATCCGGGGCTGAGCCGGAGCAGCCAGGGCCATCTGCAACCTCCAGCACCCCAGCACGATTCCCTGCCTGCTTCTTAGATGGCAGCTACTCACAACCAGAGAGCTAAGAGAACGCTTCAGCCAAGAAAATTCTCTACATGTTACTTCAGAGCCAAACTCTGGGGAGTTTTTAATGTCTGGAACCTGGTCCATCACCAGTAAAACCCCACGAGAGGAACAAACCTGGTCATCCGTGAGTATTTTGTTAAGGCAGGACTTTTTATCTGCTACGGCGGCAAGATTCTGCACTGGAACACGGAAAACAGCAAGCGTCCGTGCCCCTTCCCACCATGCACTGTGAGCTTTTGCTCAAAGGTATCAACAACAAGTATTTAAACCTGAAAGCACTGACATTTTGAGGCAGGAACAGCCAGGAACGTGCTGGGAGCACATGCTGGCTTGGGGATGTCGTCCTACGACAGCAGAAATCTTGCAGTGGAAGGGAACCCCCCATCTCGGGACGGCCAAGTGGAGACACTGCCCAGCACAGGCTGGGCCCCAGCCTGGGTTTAATCTCTTCTCTGCTTAAGTCTGCCCTGAAGCTGGCTGGAAATGCCACCACCATGGGGGAGGCTGACACGAGCCCATGCCGATGGCTAAAGCCCGGTGCTGGCACTGATGCATGCCCTCGCCAACACGCAGAGAGCCCTCTGCCCCCCGCCCCCCCTGCTCACCCTGCTCGCCACCACGGGACCGTTCCTGGCTGCCTCCTTCCTAGCCCACTGCCTGGGCTCCACCCAACAAATGGGGCAAGGTGACAGCAACTGAAACTTGGTCTTTTTTCTTTTTTTTTTTTTTGTGAAGCACACAGAGTCCAAGCCAGTGTCTGCCTAAACCACCCGCCCCCCCTCAGGATTGCCGTGGCAATCTTCACCAGCACAGAGCCCTTCTCAGTGCATCCCTTCTTCAATTACGGAGCCAACCTGCAGGGCAGGCTCTGGTATTGTATATACCCATTATTAAAGGGTAATTCAGTGTAACAAACCGCATCAAGTACATAGAAAGGCTGTCAAATAAAATAAACCGCTAATAAATTAAATTACTTTCTGTTTTCAGGAAGGGGGGGGGAATGCCAGTCATTTTTCATTTAAAACAAAATATGTCTTAATTTTTCTTCCTGCCTTTAGCAGGCACCCCCTGCAAAAGAGCCGGTCCCACTCATTCAAAGCGCACACGACAGGCGATTCCTCTCTCCTTGTTTGGCGAAGGCTTCCCCTTCCCTGAGTTAATGAGGCACTAATCCTCCCTTGAGCTGTAAAATTCGTTTTCTCTGTGGTTGGGTGGTTGGAGGGAGACAGCGTGCCCTGGTCCCTTCCCTTCCTCCTGCCACCTCCAGCCGCCAAGCGAAGGGCCACAACGCAGGTAACGCGAGGTCAGTAATTGCTGCCGCTTCACTACTTTGTCCCTTCTTCCCATCAAGTTTCCCCCTTTCACTGTCGGACTGTTGGCTGTCACCATGTCACCATGCCAACTGTCACCAAATGCTCCCTGCTCCCAGGGAGAAAAGCTTTGCGTGGCAGAGCTTCTCCTCGTCATTTATGGTTCTGTGCTGGATGTTGCCTGAAGAGATGCAGAGATTTGGTGTTTCTCAGGAAAAATCCTTGTCCTCTGCCCAGAGGCGCTATACGGTGTGCAGTGTTTTCAAACCACAAGTCAATATACAGGGGAAAAAGATTAAGGCCTCAGCTCCGGGATGACGTGGTCACATCACCTCTCACCAGCCCGAGTCCATCCTGAGCTGGGTTTGAGCTGCCCGGTCACTGGGGGTCAGACCGGTGACACAAAAGCCCCAGCACAGCCCCGCAGTGACGTGGGACTCAGCCACCATCACGCAAGGCAAAAGCACTGTGGGGAATCATAGAATCGTAGAATCACTTTGGTTGGAAAAGACCTTTAAGATCATCGAGTCCAACCTTTAACCTAACCCTGCCATCCCACCACTAAACCCTGTCCCTAAGCACCTCATCTAGCCTTCTTTTAAATACCTCCAGGGATGAGGACTCGACCACCTCCCTGGGCAGCCCATTCCAGAGCCTGACAACCCTTTCGGTGAAGAAATCCTTCTCACGGGACGGGCTGCAGGCCAAAAACCCCTCAAGGGTGCAAATTTGGTGGGGCTGGCTCAGGAAGGGAAAGCCCAGCGCAGGCAAGCAAAGCAGTGATCCTGCCTCTGCCCCAGAAGCTGCTGCTGCGCCCCAGCATCGCCCCGGTGCAGGTCCTGTGCCGTCTCCGGGCCATGGGCAGATAGGGAAAGGGCGACCGCAGATCCGTCAGCGCTGGGACCATGCACCCATTTCTCTGCAATGGAGAAGGGGGCTTTGCTCCCAGTTACCTCCATGGCAATCCTCTTAGCACAATGGAGCCGTACTGGACTTACGCTGAGATACAAATCTGACCCATAGTAGTAGCCATTAAAAAAAAAAAATCAATAAATAATCCATTTAGGTGTGTCTATCTGGTCCCCATCTCATTGGGGGTTACCAAGCCTCAGCACCAACCGCAGTTGAAGCCCTGCAGTTACTGCCACGTGCGGCGGGACCGGCAGCGCTCGTGTCTAACCGCGACGCTGTAAACCACTGGACAGGGCAGAGCTTTCCTCTCTCCTCTTGCACTGACAGCCAGACAAGCTCTGCCCTTTCTGGTGCCAGCCCCGCTCCCACCAGCCCACCCGCCCCTGCTCCGGATGAGCGCTGCGTGGAGCACAGCTTGCTCCGCAGCCTCGGTGAGCTGGCAGGATTTGGCCAAGTGGGATTAGTCGCAGCTGAAACCCAGATTAACCCTAGCCTTGGGTTTGCAAGAAGGGAAATGTAATCCAGTTCCTGGCAAATCAGAGAGCAGAGCTCGGGGATAAATCCGGCAAGGTTCTTCACCTGCTCCAGCAGCTGAGCTCCTCTGAATGTGCTCCCCGGTGTTTATTTCTTACCTACAAAAGGCACATTCTGTAACTGGCCAATGCTGCCTGCAGATTAATATTTTGCAGGCAACATGTGCATCAAACACTATTTTCATGGCAGACTGACAATTTCATGCTCCCGAGGATTTTGTCTTATTGGACCTTCCCCCTGAAGTGTGGAAGGTACCTTCCTGGGGGAGGATAAACCCGCTATCTCATTACCAGCCCCTGTAGCTGATAGAGCTTCTGGTTTCATCTCTTTTCCCTAGACATTTCCCTCCCTGCTCAGCATCACACTTACACCGTTTCTCCTGTTGCCTGGTACTCAGCCTTTTTCATACAATGAAATGCAGGCACAGACTCGCTGCCAGCTGAAGATCCACCTTCACGCGTGCAGGTCCAAAACCTGCAGGCTGCCCCAGAAGGGTCTGGGTCCCAGCTGGGGGGCCGGGAGCAGGGGGAGGACCATGGACACCAGCTCTGCAGGGAGGACGGTGCAGCCAGCGCTGCGGTGCCGGAGCGGGAGCGTGTGCTGCCCGGCAGACCTGCCAGCCTGAGCTGTGTCCTGCTTCCCAATGACCACGCCGCCAGGGAGGAGGCTGCTGGCACATCACAGGGCACCGGCACCAGCAGGTGCTCAGCACACACCCGCAGCTGCAGGAGTCGGAGCTGGAGGGGAAGAAGATGTGATGCCATACCCAGCTGCCTGCAGAGCCCCTGCTGTGCCGTGGGAGCGGGCAATGGCTGCGGGAGCAGGCGGCAGGTCCCTGCACCCCCTGCCCCGTGCTCCCTCCCGGAGCCCCCAGCCATGCGGTAGGGCAGAAGCGGGGCTATCGCCTGTCTGTC